CTCTCTCTCTCTCTCTCTCTCTGCCTCTGTCTCTGCCTCTGTCTCTGTCTCTGTCTCTCTGTCTCTATCTCCTCTCTCTGTGTCTGGCTGTCTCCAAAAGCAGAGCAGCTAATAATTTCTTGCCGGCATGACAATTTCACCCTCCTAAAGATGGAGGAACCAACAAGGGGGAAACTATTCTGGATATGATTCTCACCAATGGATCGTAGTAGAAATGAGAAGAACTTTAAAGGAAAGTGACCATTTCATCTTAAATTTTTTTTGTTGGTTTTTTTTGGGTTTTTTTTTTTGGTGAGGCAATCGCCGTTAAGTGACTTGCCTAGGGTCACACAGCTAGCAAGAATGTGTCTGAGGTCAGATTTGAACTCAGGTCCTCCTGACTCCATGGCTGGTGCTCTATCCACTGCCCCCACCCCCTTAAAATTTTTATAGCATCAGAGAGGAAAGCTAGGAGCAGACCAGTGTACACCCTAGATCCTAGAGGAGCAAATTTCCAAGTGTTCAGAGAAAAGATAGATCTTATCCCATGGAATGAAGTTCTATAGGGGAAATCAGTCTAGGAAGAATGAGAAGCTTTATTCCAAAGATCCAAAGGCAATCAATTCTGATGAGAAAAAAAAAAAAAGGAGAGCTTTATGAATAGGTTGATATGGTAGCTCAGTGATTTTACCAACCAACTCAGATTTTTAAAGGCATGAACAGAAGAAAGAAGCCAGGGTGGGCAATGGAAAATAAATACAATGATGTTAAACTGAGGTTGGCTAGGAAAGATAAGAATAACAAAAGGAGTACTTTTTGTTTTTTCTTTATACTATACTAAGGGAAAGAGGAGGATAAAGAAGGAATAGCAGGACCACTGCTCACAGTTGATTCAGGCTAGGATAACTGATGACAGAGTGAAAATAGATCTGCTGAATCCTTAATTTGCTTGATTTCTCTGCCGCTAAGAATGGTCTTTGAACTAGAAACAAAACAAAACAAAAGAAAAGTAGTTAATAGGGGGTTCATACCCCAGGTAAATAAAGAGATGGTAAAAGAACCTCAGATGAGTTCAGATCACCAACTCAGATGCACTACATCCTTGGGTCCTGAAATAAAGGGAAGATGTAGTTGCTGGGCCATTGTCAGAGATCTCCAAAGGATTATGGAGAATTGGAGAGACATTACAGGCCTGGAAAAGGACAAATACCTTATAAAAGTGGGGGAGGGAGAAATGCAATCTGTAAACTAAGAATCAGATTAACTCTGATCCTTGGTGAAATTTTTAGAATTTATTAATAAAGAGATTGTTGTTGAACGTGTGGAAAAGAAAGTGATCACAAAAACTGTGTAGCTTCATCAAGAACAGGTCATCCCAAACCAGTCTTACTTGTTTTGTGGATAAGATCACCAAAATGGCAGGTAAGAATGGTGTACCTTTAGTTTACCTACATTTTAGCAAAACATTTCAGAAAGTCTTTTATGCTTTCCTTCAGAAAAGCTCAAGAAATGTGGAGTTCTCAATTTTTTGTGTGTCACAGACCCCTTTGGTAGAATCATGCCTTTCAGTAATTGAAAGGAAATGCTAAATTTCAGTTAGAGGTTAATGGAAATAAATATGTATTTTTTTTGTCCTTCCCACTTCACAGAAGCCTTAAATCTGTTCATGGTCCACTTGAGGGATTTGTGAACCTAGGATAAGAACCTATGGTTTATAGTGAAGTTTTTTTTTTTTTCAGGTCTGCATTGGACTAGAATTCAACACTTTTTAAACTGTGGGTCATGACCTCATATGGGGGTCACAAAAATTTTGACAACAGTAAAAGATTTCTGAACACACAACAACCAAAAATTAATTAGAAATCAAACATGTAATGAATCTGAGGTGTTTCTGGCAGTGCTTGCCCGTGCAACTTCACTGCAGCCTTGGTTCTGAACACACAGCATGTGCATCTTTGCACTGCGCACACCATCACACCGTACATTGCCAATGAATGCAGCCAACAAGTAAAAAGGGGTTGCTAATGGAAAAAGTTTGAGAAGCCCTGGACTAGATGTCTTCTCAAGTCCCTTCTAAGCAGTCCATTCTGCCTTGGGATAACTCTGGTTACTAACAAGTTTTCATGTGACACAGAGTTGAAATCTGTTTCTCTGCTACTTCCATCCATTGCTCCCAGTTCTGTCTTCTGGGACCAAGTGGAAAAAGTCTTAGTGTGCTTGAATCCTGGGTTCAGCTCTGACATTTACTAGCTGTGCAACCATGGGAAAATTACGTAATTTCTTGGAGTCTCAGTTTCTCCATCTTTAGAATAGAAGGGTAAAGATCTTTATTGTCCCTACCTCCCCATATTGTTGTGAGAATCAAATAGAATGATGTCTGTAAAACACTTTGCAAGTTTTCAAGGGTTGTATTATTCTATCTTTCATACATAAGCTATCATTTTTCTTTTTTCTGTTATTCTTCTACACAATTGCCTTTCCAGTACTTGAAAATGGAAATTACGATATCTTTCCCCCACCCTCAAGCCTTCTCAGAAAGGTGGGCCACTCTTCTCCAATCAACAAGCATTTATTAAGCACCTACTACATGTAAGGCACTATGCTAGGTGCTGCGTCTCTGATGATAAAAACGGAGCAGCGTCTGCACTCAATGAACTTGCATTTCCAGTTAGGCTAACTTAAACCTCATGGCATTAGCACATCAATGTTTCTCATAGTTTCATCAATGAGCAACAGAGCCAAAAGTTGAATTCAACTTCCCAAAATATAAGCTACTGTGCTAACTGTCCATATTAGGTTTCCAAAAAGCAATCCATTGTCTCTCCTCCTGCCTCATACTAGGCCCAAATAATTGTCCAACATTCACATGCTGATGCTTCATCGGCAGTAGGCTGGCCACGTGGTGATGAAACCTCTAGTCGTGGCAACCTATGGAATATAGAAAAAAAAAAAGCTATGATTTCATTGATGTGAGGGCTCCAGAAATGAACATTAGAATCCATCCATGCCCTTCATGGGTGAGCCTTTCTGAATTTTTGTGACTAAAAAAATCATCACCTGGTAGCCAGCCTTCTTGCAATGATCCTCTCTTAACTTAATTTGCTAGGTTAGGCCTTGGATGAGAAGCATACGGTCCATTGGAGATTAGCAGCCAAAACCTTTTCAACTTGAAATATGCTTGTTGGGTTGGATTCAATTGAATGGAATGAAATCTTGGAACGTAAAAAGCGAGTCCCAATTATTGGAGGGACACAGGACAACGGTCATCCTAAAACAATACTGATGAGCTGTGAACCTTTACAACTATTCTGGAAGGTAATTTAGAATTATGTCACCAAAATCTCTAACGTATTCATATAGTTGCCCCAGCAATACCACTACTAGGTAGGCTTATACACCAAAGAGGGAAAGGATCTATATGTACAAAGGAGTTTATAGCAGTACTTTTTTATAACAAAGAGCTGAAAACTAGAGGTAACCATAGGATGGGTAATGATTAAGTAAACTATGGTAATAAAATCATGTAATGGAATATTATTGTGATATAATAAGTGATGAAACTGATTCAGGAAAAAAAATGGGGAGACTCACTTTTATGAACTGATGCAGAGTGAGATGAGCAGAACCAGGAGAATGATTTACACAAAGACTAAAAATTGAGAAGAAAAACCACTCTGAAAGACTAGTTAATGAGCTGATCAGTCATGACCCCAAAAGATTGATGATGAAACTTGCTTCCATAGTATTGATGAAATAGAGATGAAGAATGAGACATAATATTTTCAGAAATGGCCAATATCTGTGTTTTTCTTGACTAAGCTCATTAGTTGAAAGGAAATGTTTTCAAAAAGAATTGGGATGGGGGATGATAGTGATATGAAAGAAAATTAATGATAGGAACATTGATGAAGTATTTTTTGAAAGTGGAAGTTTCCATAAAAACACAAGCAAGCAGGACAGCTTTGGTACTAACATGTAGAATGTATTTTATATCTAAAAAACAAGCTGTTTTTAGTGGAGATTCATGGTTTCATGTACAATTCACTTTCTTCTGTTCTTCTTTGTAGATGGAAATACTCATTCCCTGGTGTTTGCCAAATTCAGAATAATAAAAAAATATATAAATGGTGCTGAATTTGTGAAAGAGGAAAGTTAATTGTTTTAAATCAAATTCATACCGTTAAATGAAGTCTAAAGGAGTTTCTTGTATATAAACTTCCTCTTCCTTTGTCTGCTTCCTTCCTGGATACCCCAATTCCAAGGACTTTGAATGATTCTGACATTATTGCACAACATGGAATCAAAAGTCGTGAATATATGTTCATCTCGTGTTAAAATTTCCTCTGCCTTTGGCATTACTCTCCACAGATATTCCTTGGGAATTTACAAACAGCATTCACTACCACAAGATGTCAGCCAATTGGGCCCAATTTCTAAAGAATATCGATCTGTAACACACAATTTTTTTCTGATGCTTAGTTTTATTTATATGTAACCAACAGTTGTATCCTACATTTTATATCATTTTAAACAGCCGTAAAATTAAATTGCATATTATCCTGCAAATAAATACTTTTTCATCCTAAAAAAAAAAAGCAGGTCTTTCTGTATCAGATATTGAAAGGCTTAGATAAGCTAATAAGGAAGGGCAAATTAGTATTACTGCTGTCTGTGTACAAGCCCGTCAGCCCGACTGCTCCAGCCCTGACCTTGGGCTGTGTCTGGATCTCTGGTTTGTGACCAAAGCCCTATTCTCCTTGCAGCTTCAGCTAGAATTCCTCAGACAACAAAGCAAGCCTTTCTACCTGCCTAAAATGTTTGTTGCTGTCTTGGTCCATGAGAAAATATAGAGTAGGAAGATAATGTGCCATTTCTTTCTGCTTCAATAAAATTAATAACAATAATAGCAATAATAATGTTATGAAACTCAGGCCTGAGGCCAAAGCAAGTTCTTTGTCATCTGTTTTTGCAAAAGGAATAGTTTATGTAAGAGAAGCTTTAGAATGCAAGTTGTAAACAAGCCAGTATAGTTCATGCTGTGGAAACTGGGCCTTTCATGAGGCCTTCTAAGAGGGAAGGAGAAAACATTTTTGGCCAGTGATCTAAGAGTACCCCTTCACACTCTGCTGCCACCTTAATTTTCTAATCTCACACTGCTCATTTCCATGAACTGGTCTCTGGTCAAACTTGGTGATTCATCTTGCTGCAAACACATTCCTATTTTCTCAACCTCTTTTTCTTTGTTAATGCCATCCGTACTGAATTCTTACCATCTAAAAAAGTCCACCTTTAATGTCACCTCCTTCATGAAGCCTTACTTGATCCCCCATTTGTTAATGATCTGTCTGTCTACCCTGGGACTTCACCTTTAACACTTATCACCTGTATTGTGAGAAGTATCATGGCACAGTAGAATGAGGGCCTTTGAGTCAAGAAGACCTGAGTTCAAGTGCTGACTTGGACACATACTGCATAACCTAAGAGCAAGTCGTTTAATCTCTCTGTGTCCCCGGGTAACTCTCTAAGGCTATAATTTAAGAGTGAGCTGTTGATATACAGTGGTGGAAGGATTTTCCATTCCAGGAGTCTGACACATTAATAAAATCACAGGGGTTTTTTTCCCCCAGAATCCAGAAAAACTCTTTTTTTATTATGATTCTTATTATCTGTGTGAATCTTAAACACACAGAATCACACAGAATGAATTAGCATAGAAAAAATGTAGCCTATGTCAATGAAGGAAATGCTGCCTTCATTAGATGGGTAGGTGTCACGTCTTGGACTTAGGATCTGGGAGATTACTAAACCAACCATAAGTGTACATGTACATGAAGGTTCCAACGACATAATTCTCTGGAACTCCAGAATATCTCAAAGCAGACCCAAAGGTCCACGAGTAAGCAGAAGAGTTTTCAACGTGGCCAACATGTCTAATTTATGTCTGTTGCATCTTCCTTTCCTTCTCTTCTCATTCAAGCACGACAGTGGGTTATGAGACTTCAGAGCTCAAGACACAATTCAACCATAATGTTTGGAAAACCATTGAAAGAGGGTTAAAAAAAAGTTCTTTTTTTGTCTCCTATAATACTGCAGAGCTCCAGGAATTAACTGTGTAACCTAAAGAAATTCATTTTCCCTTTCTTTGCTCAGTTTTCTCACTGATAAAATGAAGGAATCTGACCACATGATCTCTAAGGTCCCTTGTAGCTCCAATGTTTTTTGACTGGGAGAAAGAAGAAATAGACTTCATTTGAGGGAGGTGGGAGAGAAAATGAAGGAGGCAATGTCGCACTGGAGGCAGCTCAAACCAGCTTAGCAAATGCTACATGGCTTGATTTATTGATTTGTTGATTAGACTTAAGAAAGTTATTGAGAAAATGTCAATGATAGAGATTAAATTTAAGTGTGCCATATGTACTTTTTCCCTTTTTTTCAGGATTTTGGGATTGTTAAACATTTACCAGCATACCCCTGGAGCTGGGTCATAAAGAAGAGTACTGGAGATAGAGGTTTTGAGATAAAGTGAGGAAAACAGGAAGAATTATTTTTGTCCTTGTATCCTCAGTGCTTAGAATGGTGCCTGTAACTTAATAGGTATTTAATAATCATTTCCTGATTGTTTATTGAAATGCTTCCAAAGAAGGACTTTGCATATAGCAGAGAATCATAGAATCTCAGGATTGGAAAGGATCTCAAAGACCATCCAGTCCAATCCATACTCGAACAAGACTACCCTCTGTAGCACTCCCAACTAGTGGCCATCTTTACTAGAAGATGGGGTCTAGAGTGGAGGGGAGAGAGGGAGAATGCACCACTGGTGTCACCTCAAATAGAAATGGATCCCTTGAATCCATTGACTTAGAAAACCTCAAATTAGTATTATCAATGCTGCATTGCATTTCTATTTATTTTGTTAAACATTTACCAATTACGTTTTAATCTGGTTGACCCTGCACTCTGGGATTTTGCCTCTGCCTTCAAGTTTGACACCTCTGGAGTTCACCATCTTGGAGGCAGCCCATATTAATTTTGGAGAGTTCTAATTCTTGCTAAGTTATTCTTTTGATCAAACGCTCTCTGAGGTCAAGCAAAGAAAGCCTAATGCCCTTGCCTCAGGACAGTCTTTCAAATAATTGAAAATAGCTAGCAGCAAACCCCACCCCCACCCCCACCACCAAATTTCACTTTTCCAGGTAAAATATCCTTATTTTCTCTAACCAAGTCTTAAAGGGGGTTAACTCTAAGCCCTTTATCATCTTTGTTACCCTCTTTTAAACATTATCTAGCTTGTTGATGTCCTTCCTGAAATACGGTACCCAAAACTGAACACCATATTTGAGATATGGTCTGAGCAAGGTAAAGCAAGACTCGCACCTCCCCAGTCCTGAACAATGTGCCTTTCTTACAGAAGCCTAAAGCTCACTGGAGTCAGCAAGATGGCTCAGTAGATAGAGCGCTGGGCCTGGGGTCAGGAAGACCTGAGTTCAAATGTGGCTTCGTACACTCACTATCTCTGTGACCCTGGGCAAGTCACTTAGCCTCTCCACAAACCACTCCAGTATCTTTGCCAAGAAAATCCCATACAGGATCACAAAGAGTCAGACAGGACTTAATGATTGAACAACAACAAAGACACCATTAGCTTTCCTGGTTTCTATATCATGCATCTGACTCACATTAAGCTTGTGAGCTAGTAAAACTCCCAGGTTTCTTTCAAGTGAACTGCATCTAACCATGACCTGCTCTATCTTATACTTATGAAAAAAAGATTAAAAAAAATACAAATGTAACACTTTGTCTTTATCCCTATTCAATGACATTTTATTGGACTCTGGCCAATATTCTAAACTGCCTTTAAGACCTTCTTGACTCCTGATTCAGATATCTATTGGGTTGGCTATCCCTTTCAGCTTTATGTCAATGGCAAATTTGATCAGCATGCTATTTATGCCTTTATCCATTTATAAAAATGTTAAACCACATAGGGCCAAGCAGAGGTTACAGGGAAGTCCATTGGAGACCTCATTCTCAATTGACATTTGAATCATTAATGTCTACTCTTTGGGGCTGGCCATTCTATCAGTTCAGAATTCACTTAACAGTACTTGTGTACTCCAGTAGTTCTTAAGACTTTTGATCTTGGGAAGGAATAAAAGAAGGAAGGAAAGAGGGAAGGAGGGAAGGTAGGAAAGAAGGAAGGGAGGAAGGAAGGAAGGAAGGAAGGAAGAAAAGGAGGAAAGAAGGAAGGAAGGAAGGAAGAAAGAAAGGGAGGGAGGAAACAAGTATTTATTAACTACCTATTATATGCCAAGTACTGTGCTAAGCACCAAGTGCTTTATAAATATTATCTCATTTGATTCTCACAATAACCCTGGGAAGTAGATGCTATTATTAACATTCTCCATTTTATATTTAAGGAAACTGAGGCAGACAGAGGTTAAGTGACTTGATCAGGGTTACACAGCTAGTGTCTGAGGCTGAATTTGAACTCATGTTCCTGATTGCATGCCCAGCATTTTATACATTGTGTTACCTAGCTGCCTTTAAAAGATCTCCCAGGCATCCTCAAACCTTATTTTGAGAACTGCTGGTCTAGCTTACATGTCTCCATTTGTCCACAAGAAAAGACTTTGTCAAATGCTAGTTATATCTGAAGCATTCTCCTTATCTCCAGGTTAAATAACCCTGTTGATAAAGCAAATGAGGCCTGTCTGGCTGCATGGTTTATTCTTTTTTTTAAGGTCCCCCACTATTAAGTTTTACTGTCTATTTTCTCCTATAACTCATTTAACTTTTTCTCCAGGAATCTGGATTATATGTCATTTGTTGCACTTATGTTCAGTTTTAACATCAATTATTGTCTATGGCATCATTCAGCAAAATGTAGTTTCCTTGATAATCTCTTTTAATTAGGTGTATTTTTGTTTTTGCTTTGTCTGAGATCATGATTGCTTCCTCTGCTATTTTTTACTTCAACTGAAATATAATAGATTCTGATCTGGCCCCTTACTTTATCTCCGTGTTTATCTTTCCATCTCAAGTGTGTTTCTTGTGAACAACACATTATCGGGTTCTGATTTCTAATCCATTCTGCTGCCCTCTTCCATTTGAAGGGTGAGTTCATCTCATTTACATTTACAGTTATGATTACTAACTGTGTATTTCCTTCAATCCTATTCTCTTATACTTATCCTTCTTTCTTTTACATCGTCCCCTCCTCAAGAGTCTGTCTTGCTTCTGACTATCGCCTTCCTTAATCTACTCATAGTCCCCTCTTTCTCTCCTATTTCTGTGTTGGATAAGATAAATTTTTGTACCCAACTGTGTGGGTACATGTTCTTCCCTCCTTGAACCAGTTCAAATCAGAATAAAGTTCAAGTGTTGCCCATTTCCTCTGATCATGCTCCCTTTCAATGTATAAACTCTTCTTTGGGTGGCCCATTTATTTGAGATAATTTTCCCCATTCTTTCTCCTCCTTCACATTTTCCAATGTATCTCTCTTTTTCACCCTTCCATTCTTCTTTTGAGATCCTCCCAACATAATAAAATTACACTC